GGAAGTTTTTAATGGTTTTATAATAGCATCAAACTCTTTTACTAGATCAGATATTTTAGCTCGCATTTGTTGTGTAGCCGAATTTATAGGTGTTTCAATATCATCTGCTATTAAAAGATCGGCACGACTACCAACTATTTGACCAAACAATCCCATACTCTTAACACTAGGAGATTGGTCAGGTAGTGCAGGTGCAACATCATAAGCTATAATAGATTTTCGCTGATCTTCTCTAGGCTTTAAATGCCTTAAAATAGGTAATTCATCTATTAATTTTTTTGTAAATAAACTAAAACTATCTGCTCTTTCCTTGCTTGCTGACACTACTAAACATTTAATCTGAGCATTTAAAAGTAGTCGCCAAAGCACATAAGAAGCTGTTAAAAAAGATTTTCCTACGCCTCTATATGCCTCTATTAATATACGTCTCGGAGAATGTTGTAAGTAGTGAGCTATGTCATATTGAATCGGTGTGGGGTCTGGTAAGCCTAAGTGTTTCCAAATCAAATAAACAAATAGTCTAAAATCATCGTGTATTTTTTGTAAGTATTTGGTCAAATAAATTCCTCAAGAATATTTCTGATTGGGTGTTCTTGATTGTGTTCTAGTTCTGTTACTCTACGTTGTAAATAAATCATATCATCATCTAGTTTTTTCACTTTTGCATATTCGCTAAACATCAAACCTATACTTAAAATTACATATAAAAACATAACAAATAAGTAAATAAGCATTGGTTCACAAAATTCTTTTAAGGACATTTCTTTTCAATCTCTTTTAAATTAATATCTATTAGTGCATCGTCGTTTTCGTCAAACACAGGTAACTCAATCAAATTATCAAATTCAGTGCTGTGATTTATATTTGCGACGATGTCATTATCTTTTAAATATTGTCTAATAACATTCAATGTTACAGCAGAAACTGGCTCGTCTTTTGTAGATAAAATAGTTCTAAATCTCTGTGCCATTAGTTCGTGAATTTCATTTAAAAGATTTTGTTCGGCAGGTGTTTTTTTATGAGACATTATTAAAAAAATCTGTAGTATTTTCCATTAGCTTTCCTGAAACAATATTATATTGAGCAGGATATAAATAGCCTTTACCATTAACAAACGTATAAAAATTCAAAGGCAAATACAGTGCAGGTTTGGTAGGGTTAATAGTAGATTTTATAGTTACAGCAGAATTAGATTTTTTTAATATATCAAATATTACTGTACCATCATTTTCTACAAAATAAATTATAGTGCCGTTTACTATTAAAATATAACAAGTTATTGTAGAATTAGGTTTAATAATGAATGTACCAGTGAAATTCGGCTTAGCTTTTTGTATTAAAGTTTCAATTGCCGATACGTCATAATCTGTTTTACCAGTTTGTAAAGTAACAAAGTCAGCATTAAAAGTTGGGTACTCAACAGCATTAAATAAATTATTTATATGTGTAGAAAAATCAGCATCTAATTCTTCATTAATCCAATTTGAAACTTCTCCAGTATTATTTACTGCAACTACAGATAACTGACCAGTTTTATCAATTTTAAACTTAGTATCAGAAATAATATCAGCGTCTGGATAAATTCTAACTTGCTTGCCTTTAGCTGTTTCTAATAGAATATATCTAGGTGTAAAATCATGCCAATGTAGTTTACCATTTTTATTACCCACCAATGCTGAGTTATCATTTGATGCTACATTAGCAGGCATTTCTAAGCTATAATCAGCTGTTTGATATTTACTAGATTGTAAAATAGTTTTATGTGTTCTTTGCGGATTATATATTTCTAAACTATTAAATTGTGATAGTAAAGCAGGTATATCTGTTGTTAAAGATTTAGATTCTGCTTTTATAGTTGCAATATTTGTTTGTACTTCATTTAAATCTTTTTTAACTTCTGCTTCTATCAAATGCAATTCACTGATTACTTTATTAAATGCTACTGTTAATGTAGGTAATTTTTTAATCAACTCATCTAATTTAGCAAAATTATCTTGAATAGGTTTTAATGTTTTTAGCTCTGCAATTAATTTTTGTAAATCAGTTATTTTATTTGTAGCATCTGTTAAACCAGTATTTAGACTAGGCTGTATTTGTTTAATGTTTTGTTCAGCTGTAGTTACATCATAAACTGATTTATT